GCTGCTGCTGGAGTCGTTTAGGGATGCTAGAGCCTCGGGCACTTCCGTTAGCGAGGCCGTCACCTTAGTGGCGACCGCTTTCGGGGTAAGCGGATGCCGTCGATGCCCCAAAGTCTGAGATCTGGCCTAAGGTGTCCCACCCGGAGGTCGGTCCGCCCACCTTGCCGCCGCCACCTCTGCCTCCAGGCAGGGCTCCTTAGGAAAGCTGGAGCTGCGTTTGGGGAGCAGTTGGGCCCTGGCCCTGCCACACTGGCGACTGATAGGATTATTCACGCCATCGACGGGCTTGGAAGGTGCAGGACGAAGATAAGACCGGCGCAAAGGGCCAGGTCAGTTCGCTGAAGGACGGGGAAAAGCTGGATGTCTTTTTGGCCAGGGGCTGCGGACAACTCTCGGTTGAGCTTTGCAAAGGCGTCTACGGCAAGGAGCTCTTCCATAGTATTAAACGCGCCGGTCTTCACGCCAAACATGAGCTAGGACTCATTAAGTGGCCGGTCCTTATTACTAACCGAGTCGCCCTTGCCGTGGCAGGCCTGTGGTGGGGGGGCACCGAATCGTTCACGCTGCAGCCTCTGATTGTGCTACCGCACGGGTCGAGCAGCTCGAAAATTGGAGCCTCCCCACCGAGCATAAAATCGAAGCTCGCTCGAAGGCGCCCAGCACCTTTCTCACGTGGCTCCGACACGCCGAGAATGCAGTGAAGGTTTTCGGTAGCGCCTACGGGCTTGAGCAAGTGCAAGAACGCATGAAATTCTTGCAAGCTCTCAGGGAAGCGCACGAGGAAGATGAAAACGCGTTCCCCTTTACTTACTGCGTGCAGCTCTTCGAGGAGATGACCGCCGTCTGGTGTGAGGAAGTACGTGAGAAGCGTCGGATTTTGTGCTCAAGGCTTGGCGCGGAGAACCCGCGGCTTGAGGACCTCAAGCTGCTCGCCTTGTCTCCAGGAGTGGATGGGCTTCCCAACTTTCAGTTCCCCAGGGTGTGGGACCTTGCCGACCCCCGCGGATACTATCAGAGAGTGGCCCTCCCCCAACACAAGAAGGCCATGGTAAGGCTCCTCAACAAGCAGCTGCATGAGCACGTCACGCGCGAGCGTAACCGCTGGTCCTACCGACACCGACGAGCTCCCAGGCGGCCCGCCCGATGAGTCAGATAAAGCTGGTAAAGGCCCTAAGCGCGAAGGGAACAAGGCCCACCCAGCCGGTAAAAGGCTCACTCCCACTGAAGTCAAGAGGTCAGTTGCCCGTGCTCCCCAGTGTCCTAAGACCAAGAAGCCCATTTGCTGGGATGCCGGCCGCGTGCCACATTGGGTGTCAGCGTACCGCTTGCCCACACGCACACGAGCCCCTTCCTTCTCTTGCAAAGCTCGACTACACCGTGGCTATGCAGGTGTTGAGGCGCGGTGGTCTGAGGAATGGTCCCAAGGTCAACCCGAATGAGGTTGATGGGAGGCTGTCACAGCTGAGGGCGCAAGCGAAGGAGGAGCAGGCCTTAAAGATCACACCAGGTGATACCGCCCGAGGGAAAGCTAAAGCGAAGCCCAAAGCCAAGGACAAAGCCGGTTGGGCAGTCCCAGACGACTACCAAGGCCCAGTTACCGCCATGGAAACTGAGTTGGGTGATCTTGCGCAGGGCCCGGACTACGCGTGGCACCAAAGCTTTTCTACGGAGGCGGAGCCTTCATCGGTTCGAAGCACAGGTGAAGAGGCCTCCCAACGCCGCACTTTGTACGAGCAAATTGTCTCATCGGGAGCCCTCCTCCCGCTGAAGAACATTTTCTGCTTGCAGACTTTTCTTTCTTTTAAAAACCTGACAGGCAGCAGAGCTGCCGTGTTTTGCATGTGAGTTTTGAAGAACATTTCTTGCATGGAAACTTTCATTGTCTTTGAATAAGCAGATCGGATACCTTTGGCTTTCCCGCGAGTCTGCTCAAAGAGAGAGGCAAGAAATTTTTCTTTCAGGCCTCTAGAGTCCCGTATTGTGCAAGCTAGAAGCCTCCAGGTGCTAATCTCAAGGCTTTAGCTGAGTGCACGGCGCCCCCCCGTTGGGGGTGCTAGATGGACGGGACGCTTCCGGCGCCTCAGCAGGTGCCAGTGCTTTGCCCTGTGACAGGACAACTCTTGCAACAGGTCTCCACTCCGGTTGAGCCGGCACCGTTCCCGCCTGAGCCTCCTTTGTCGCTGGGGGACCTGCCTTCAGCCAGTCCCGAGTCTCTGCCAAGGGGTGTTAGGGGACTTCGGGACTTCAGGGGGTCGGTTGGGGATCTGCCTAGCCAATCAGTTGAGATTAGTGACGAAGACCAGGACCTCGATCAGGGCTGCTCGGGCTCCCCTTGGAACCTGCTACGTGCGAGGGAACAGGAGGGCAACAGCCCTCGGGAGTCCAGATTCTCTGAGGAGAGGGGCTTTTCAGAGTTTGATTTTGGGAGTCTCGCCACCCATCCTTCGTTGGATAGGGAACCTTCTGATTTAGCTTACGAACCCTCCCTTGCTGAGGAAAGGGAATGGTACTCGCAGGTAGGAGAGACAGACTCCCTTAATCCTCCGATAGAACTTCGTGGAGCTCTTCCTCCTGACATTGTTCAGGGGGGGGAGACGGCTTCTTGGTTGTGTGGTGCTGCTGCTGATGATGATGCGAGACAGGCCGCCACGGTGGCCTTCTGCAAGAAGAGACGACTCGACCTGCCCTCGCTGCCTTGGAGCCAGCCCAAGACATTTCTTCAGAAGTCCTACGATAACATTTTCAATTTTGTGCCTGCAGTGGGAGTGAGGGAAGCCATTATGGGAGCAGCGTCTTCATCGGAGCCTGCACCGGAAGCAGCAAGTGAAATTCCATGGACTGTGGTGCGTCGCCTGACGCGTGTTCGCTTGACCAAAAGTGACGATGACATTCGAGATGCGGCCTTGAAGCGTTTCAAGGTCTTGATACTGCTAGACCCGGAAGCGACTCGCCTTGGGGCAAGCCTGCTGAAACAAGGATTGGGTCTGGAGCCTGACGAGGTGATTGCAACTAGTCTGGCGGATGCCTTTAGAGCCAAGGCCTCCACAACAATTCAGAAACGAGCTCTCTCGCTGCAATCCTTGGCTATCATGGCTTATGACCTAGGCTTTGAGTCGCCCTGGCGCTTGACCGAGCCCCAGGCCTATGAGATCTTCAGCAAGCTTCGCAGCTCGGATGCCAAGGCCTCGACTGCCTCCCACTTCGTGGAAGCTCTGGGATTTCTGCACGGGGTGGCTGTGTTCAACTTCATGGCCTTGGACATCATTTTATCTTCAAGGGTGCGGGGCATTGCAAGAGACATGAAGCTTCACAAAGAACCGCTCAAGCAGCGAGATCCTTTATCTTATGCGAGGGTCAGAGCCTTGGAGGGGCTGATGACCAAGACTTCAACTTGGGTACAATGCGTGCTCGGCTTCATGCTCTTCTGCCTGCACTCTTGTTGCCGCTGGGCGGATGGCCAGCGAGTCAAGGGACTCGAGCTGGTGGGAGAAGGCCGTGGGCAACTTTTGATTGCGTCAGGTCTGGGGTCTAAGACGTCATTGACGGCTGACGCCCAAACGAAATTTCTGCCGTACGTATGCGTGGCTGAGGGGGCGAGCGGCCAGCCTTGGGCAAAGTTGTGGCTGCTTGCCCGTACTGCTGAAGGCCTTGACTTCTCGGCGGGGTGCCTTCCGTCGTGGTCTCAGCGTGCCAACTGCTGGGCAACGGTGCCTATGAGTTCGGAGGAGGGATCGGACCTCCTTGAGGAGTTCCTCCTTACCATTGACATGGGGGCCTCCCGTGACGAATCGATTGGTACCCACAGCTTGAAGGCTACCCTGCTTTCATGGGTGGGGTGGAGCTCCACAGTCCATTTTAGTGCCAAGGAGAAGTTGCTACTTGGGCATCACTTCAAACGGGGAGGTTCATCTAACCTCATCTATTCCCGCCAGTACTACATCTCCCTTGCAGGTAAGCTCCTTGCACTTTTCGAGAGCATTAGGGCTGGAGATTTGATCCCGACATGTCAACCTCTGACAGAGTTGCAGCTGTTGCGTCGAGACACTTCAGCCGCCCGGAGCCAGACGCCCCGGTACCCCCGAACGAGGATCCCGACGAGCTGGAGTCGCTGGCTTCTAGGTCTGCCGAGTCCGAGGCGGAGTTCTTCGGGCATCCAACGGTGGCTACTGGATCAAGGCTCCCCTTTACGGAATGCACAGTTGACCAGTTGATGATCCACTCCCTGTCAAACATCGTGCACAAACTGAGGGATGCTTCAAGCTTCTTTTGCGGGAGGCCGGTCACCTCTAGGTACAGAGTCTTCACCACTGAAGACGAGGAGGAGCCCGAGCCGTGTATTCAGTGTCGTCGGGCATCGGAGTTTTGACCAGGTCTGAAACGCCGCAGACAAAAGCCGTATGGAGCGAGTGGTTGCAACATTCACAAATTGGGATGCCAGGACCTGTCGAAGCCTCGTAAGTCTTGAAACAGTCCATGCTGATCGGCCGGCTTTTGTGCCCGTGGCCTCTGTCGTGTAGTTATGGCGCTACGATGGCATAGGGCTGATACGCCAGGTTGGGCATACCCCTTTGTGTTTTGGGTCGGTGAGTTTCTCACCCGAGACCCGAGTGATATATCTGACGACAGAACTTGTCGGTTTGACCCATGACGGCTTGAGAGAGAAGCGCTGGGATTGATTAACGCGGTGATGACTGTAAGTCCGAGTCACCACATGCAAATGTCAGCCGGTATCTCGCGATGCCCGGGGCTGGCCTTGTGATCGTGTATCGCCTTGTGCCGGCCAGGGTTGGCCCGTGGCACGGGTGGATGATTGAGCTGCCCTTATTGCGGCCGTGGCTCACAGCGGATGACCATGATGGTTGCTGGCACGAGAGCATCACCTGTCAAACGTTGATCCAAGATCACCGAACTCGGGGGTTTAATCGTGATCGCTTGCAGCCATGACGTCGGCCACCTTAGACTCGGAGGCTGCTTTTCAAGAAAGGTGTCTCCGAATCGGCATGACGCCGGAGCTGTATGGCAAGCTCAAAGATAAGGGCTATGACACCTTCGGGAAGATCGCCTTTGCTGCTGCGAGCTCCCCGCAGGCCCTTACCGATGAGGCCATCGATGTGTGGTTGGCCACGGTCGTAGATCCAAGGCCTTCAGCGTTCCAGGTTTCGGTGATCAGGCGGCTCCTATTTGAAAGCCAGTCGCTCAACATCGCTGACTTGCGGACCCGTGTGGAAGGCCAGCCTGAAAACACAATCAAGAAACTTCCCACTGCTGAACGAATAGCCAGACAAGAAGCTCAGCAGGCTCGCTTGAAGGGAGTCGTCTTCACGGTGTCGAACCAGCCATCCCATGCGAGCATCGATCAGGTCACCGACATGTTGGAAAACAATTCCTTGCGGTACCTGCCGATGAACAGGTGGACCTCCCGGTCACAGGAGCTGAGCTTGGCAAAGAAGGACTCATCGATCCAAATTGACGCGGAGGGAAACCTCAAGCTAGGCACTAAGGTCCCGGATCCTGTTTGCGACACAAATGGTGCTTATGCGCTTCGGCAAGCCTTCTTTCGCCGCTCGCTGGCTCTGGACCTAGGGAACCTCTGCACCTTTGAGGTGATGGAGGAGTGGGTCAACACCATCTTCGAACTGACCCAGCGGCAGGTTCCCACCGGGTACACCAAGGTCTCCTTGTCCCAGATTGTAGCAGCAGATAAGGAACTCTTCATCAGGGCAGCGAACAACCTTGAAGGAAAGCTCCAGAAACCAGTGGGAGCTACCAAGCCGTTGGATGCAGAGCTGAAGCGTTTGTCTGTGTCGCATGACATCACGCAGTTCTTGTCACCCTTGCTCACCCCGCCTCCGCCGGCCCATCCTACCAAGAGGCCCCAGGATGGTGACGACGATGCACCGCCCAAGAAGACGAAAGGCAGAGGTGACAAAGGCAACAAAGGCGGGGGCAAGGGCAAGACACCGAGGATCGAGATACCTGAAGGTTGTTCCGCACGTGATTCGCAGAACCGACCGAATTGTTTTGGGTTTAACTTAGGCACCTGTAAGGCCAAGGTGGTGAAAGGTAGGTGTCCGAAAGGATTTCACCAGTGTTGGAAAATAGGCTGCAACAAGAATCACCCGTACAGTGAATGTACGCATGGCATGCAGTGACCCAGCCAATCGGGAGGTGGGCCAGCTCCTGAGGCAGCTCCCTTGGCCCACGGTGCAAGCCGAGCTACATGCTCAGAGTCTTTCGCGAAGACTCTTAATTCAGTCAATGTGCCGCCGTCCCGTCTTGACTTGCAAAAGTTGCATGAACATCTTGTTGCGGATGGCTTGCTACGTCCTGACGCCAGAACTCAGCAACCGAATTTTGGGGTTGGGGCTTTTTCCCAGGGAGGGCTTCAAGGTCTGCGTGGTGAGTGTAAGAACTTCCCACAAACGACCAAAGCTATTACAGCTTTCGTGCGAGCTCAACTCCCGGATCTTTTCTTTACGACTGTTTTCCTGTTTTGCAATTCCATGACATCCATGCATGTAGATTCCAAGAATCATAAGTCCCCCACTGGTGTCATACCGATCGGAGCGTTCACAGGAGGCCACATCTGGGCCCAGTGTGACCATGGTTCGGTTATGCGCCCCATCAACGGCACACCGACCGCTGGCGAATTGCTTGATGTGTCTGCTGGACCCATCACCTTCGAGGCTTACTCCAGAGCCCATTGTACCGAACCGTGGCATGGCAACAGACTGATCGCTGTGGCATTTTGTGTCTCTGATTTGTCCAAACTTCCTGTTGCCGATGCAAATTCCCTTTTGTCCCTTGGGTTTAGGCCCCCGACCTCCTTGGGTTTCCCACTTCAGATCGCCGAGCAGGCGCAGCCCCCGCGACCTGATGACACGTGGATCTTCGAGATCTTTTCGGGCACTGGGGGTTTCGCTCGAGCTTGCCTCCGGAAAGGCTTCAAGGTTCTAGCCTTTGATGCAAAATTAGCCGGGGCCATGGTCCCTACTGCAAATCTTGACTTCTCCACAGACGCAGGTCGCGAGGTCTTTATGTCAATGTTGAAGCAGTGCAAACCTTTTCACGTCCACCTAGGGGTGCCGGCAGGTTCTGCGTCAGCCTCCCAGCGGGCCGCGAAACCCGATAGCCGATCACAGGGCGCCCGTTTGAGCACGCTTCGGACGCCGACACATTGCTTGGGTGTGCCCCAGATCGTGTGGTCTTCTGCCGAAGGCATCAAGCTTAGGAAGGAAAATGCCCTTTTCCGTTTCTGCTTCGATGTCATTTGCTTATGCCTCGACGCCAACATTTCAGTCAGTGTCGAAAACCCGGCCAACTCTTTGCTGTGGCATGTCTTCCAACGCTTTGCTTCTCAGGCTGCCATCAGGTGGCCGCCTAGCCAACTTGAACAGGTTATCTTTGCCATGTGTGCGCATGGAGGTGACCGCCCCAAGCAGTGCAAGCTTCTGGCTTCCAAAGGCCTCTTTTCCCCTCTGGCAGCCAAGTGCAGCAAAGATCATGAGCATGCTCCATGGTGGTCGCACTCCCGCCTCAGTGCGTGCTATCCGCCTTTGCTCTGCACACGCATGGCGGACTGTGTCTCGTCTCTAGCATCACAGTCGGGCCGGGTCCTCACGGCGCCCGATGACTTCCATGCAAAGGCCATGGCTGCAGCAGCCAAGCAAAGCAAGCGGCATGCCCCGCTCATTCCGGAGTTTCACAAGGTCACCTGGGAAACTCCCCGCTTCAAGCCAGATAAGTCTTGCAAGATCCTCCTGACCCACGTTGAGGGGGATAGTGGGGGTCAGACTTCGGATCCAAAGAACTTGAAACCTGTCAAGGTAGGCCATTGGCTCAATATGGATCAGCATGTATCGAAAGCCCGAACGTTGCAGCATCCTGTGGACAAGACGATTGCAGTTGACCCACCTGTGTGGGAAGCCGTCAACTTTTGCATGGCGCATGAGTCTGCCAAAGCTAATCAGCTTAGGAAGCTTGAGCTCCTTAAGGTGAAGCTCCTTGCCAAATCCCTTGAAGAGGAAGAGACAAAACTTCATGCCTCCTTCCCGCCTTGGTTCGAGAAGGTGGTCAAAGGAAAAAGGATTTGCTTGTGGGAGTCTCTCTTGAAAAATCATGGCTTTGACGACATGGGGGTAGTGGATCTGATGAAGAAAGGGGTGCCTTTGGTAGGAACTTCGGAAAAACCTGAATGCTTTAAGACCAAGGTGGCCATGGCTTCCATGTCCGAATCAGAACTCAGGGCCACTGCCTCTTTGCGCCGTCGTGCTGCCTTGTCAAAACCGAACCGTGCGACCCCTGAAGAGATTTCGCTTCTTCAGGAGGCCTCTAACTCCGAGGTTACCGATAACTTCATAGAGGGACCCTACACCGAGGCCCAGGTCACTGAAATTTTCGGCCATTCGGATTGGGGCATCATTCCCAGGTTCGTTCTTGAGCAAGGCCTTGAGAAGAAGATTCGACCCATAGATGATGGGCATGCTTCGCAGGTCAATGAGGCTTTCACTTCCTTGATTAAGCTGGAACTTCAAGGGGCCGACTTCGTTGCGGGTCTGGCCCTGCTGATCTCCCAGGCCGAAAAGGAACGTTCAGAGCGCCTAGGTGTCGCTGCTAGGAAGTGGGTGGGTCGGACCCTAGACCTCTCAAAAGCTTACAAACAACTAGGGGTGCTCCCGCAACACCGTGACATCGCCGTCATCTGCCATCCCAATGAAAATGGTGAACCGCAATTCTTTATTGCGAACGCACTGATGTTCGGCTTGACATCGTCGGTGTATGGATTTGTAAGAGTAGCTAGAAGCTTGCATTTCCTTCTGGCCAAAGTGCTGAAGATCCCTTCAGCCAACTACTTCGACGATTACCCTCTCTTCACGTTGAGAGATGGGGCCCACGAGCTTGATGGTTTAACTTCCGAATTCCTAGAATTGCTGGGGTGGCGCTTCGCCCAGACCGGGGTAAAGGGTCAACCGTACGAGGAGGCCTTCACAGTCCTCGGAATGCAGCTGGACATCAGTCGTTTGCATGAAGGTGCTGCCGTGCTGGCAAACAAGGAAGGCCGTGTCAAGCGCATTTCCGAAATGCTGGGCAGCATTTTTGACAAGGGAGCCCTGGGCAGGCATGAGGCGCAAGTTCTCCTTGGACTCTTGAACTATGCCTCAGGTTTCTTTGCAGGCCGATCCTTGAAGCCAGCGTGCCACTTCCTGCTCTCCTTGGTAAGGGGAAAGCGCCAAACGGCTGCCGAAATAAAGCGCTTCTGCAAAACTACACAGGCTGTCTTGAGCACCACTCCACCTAGAGTCCTTCGCATCTTTGACCCTCGACCGCCCATTCATGTTTGGACGGATGGAGCTTGGGAAGATCCTTGGGCGGGAATAGGTGCGGTTGTTCTTGACACGCTAGATGATAGTGCCAGGGTTTTTGCCGGTTGTGTACCTGCTAAGCTTTTGGAACGCTGGAAGCTGGATGTGGGATCACAACTCATATGCGAGATCGAGCTCTACGCTTTGGTTACTCTGCGTCGCATGCTCCAAAATAGCTTGTGCAACAGGAGAGTCATCTTTTGGCTTGACAACGAGGCCGCACGCACCTCAGCCATCAAAGGTTTGAGCCAGAGCGAGTCGATGTATCGCCTCGCCCATTATCTTGCAGTGATCGAAGCTGAGGCGCCTTGTATCGCTTGGTACGAGAGAGTGCCTTCCTTTTCCAACATAGCCGATCCCCCTTCACGAGGTGAGGGGCACAGCATCCTCAGCTTGGTAGGCGCCAAGGTCGTGGAAGCTTTCATCCATGATGAAAGCTCAAACCAGAGATTCCTTCATCAGGGGTTCGCGTGATGTCGGGGGCATTCAGGACGCTGCTCCCTTGATCTTGGAAATCTCAGCTTGCCAAACCCGAGATGCTTGATCATCGGTTTGGCCGGAGCTGTGGGGGCTCCTGAATCAGAATTCACCCTTGATCACCGTGCGAATAAAAAGAGTGTGGCGCGAGAGTTCTGTGAATCCTCATTTAACTTACATTGTGAGGATCTCTGATACAATATATCTTTTACTGATTGATCTTGCCATATTCCGAGATGGATTGATTTTTTATATGATTGGCATCGCTTTGATACGTGATATCTGATATCACTCGACCTTTGCGAAACATCAGGTTTTTGAAAGAAGAACATTTTCTGCTTGCAGACTTTTCTTTCTTTTAAAAACCTGACAGGCAGCAGAGCTGCCGTGTTTTGCATGTGAGTTTTGAAGAACATTTCTTGCATGAGAACTTTCATTGTCTTTGAATAAGCAGATCGGATACCTTTGGCTTTCCCGCGAGTCTGCTCAAAGAGAGAGGCAAGAAATTTTTCTTTCCCACCCTCCCACCCAATACGGACGGGGGGCATTCAGGACGCTGCTCCCTTGATCTTGGAAATCTCAGCTTGCCAAACCCGAGATGCTTGATCATCGGTTTGGCCGGAGCTGTGGGGGCTCCTGAATCAGAATTCACCCTTGATCACCGTGCGAATAAAAAGAGTGTGGCGCGAGAGTTCTGTGAATCCTCATTTAACTTACATTGTGAGGATCTTTGATACAATATATCTTTTACTGATTGATCTTGCCATATTCCGAGATGGATTGATTTTTTATATGATTGGCATCGCTTTGATACGTGATATCTGATATCACTCGACCTTTGCGAAACATCAGGTTTTTGAAAGAAAGGACCATCTGCACTCTCATGTGGCGGCCCATCTTGTGAATGGCGCTATTGCGCAAAAGCAACCAGACCTCTCGACCATTTTGGTGCAGGCCGTTGATTATGGGCACCCCCAGCTGGCCGAGGAAGCCCAAGGCTACCTCGAATCCCTGCGGGGGAAAGCAGGGCTTCCTCCTCCTCGCCCGGAGGCCCAATTCGAAGCTCTGAGTTGGGACGGCGAGGTTGGGAAAATTCAATTAGTCTTTGAGGACCCCCGATGAGAAGGCGTCCCGCCCTTGCCTGTGGTGGATGTGCAGGATAAGCTTTCCCTTAGCGATAGCCTGCTCGCGCTGATGACCCCAGCCTCAGGGACTGTGGAGACTAGGCAATGCCTGTGCTTGCATGTTGCGCTAGCTTACACGCAAGATTTGGAAACCTGTCAAGCCTCCGCTGCTGAACTTCGGCTGGAGCTGTGGGAATCAAGCAGCCAGGCTTTCCAACACTTGGGCGATGCCGGAACCTATATCAGCTCTGCAGAGGCTTTCGTGAGGCACAACGCCCATGATTGCATTTACCTTGATCATGAGAAGGACTTTAGGGTGCTTCAGCTTTTCGCACCTTCCTTTATGCGTGGCAAACGATTGCTGGTCCTCCGGCTCTCCCATAAGGGGACGGTGGAATTGGACTTGATCGACGGAGAGGGCCCCATCATCAGCACGGGCGCGGTTGTGATCCACAGGGGGCACATGCGAGCAATCCTGAGTAGTGCTTCAGTTCTTGAGCAATTGGTGCGTGCCGCCCAGGATGGAGCTCGTGTCGCCCGGGAGCTCGAAGCGACCGGTTGGGGAGCTTTCTTGGAAGCCCAGGATGCTGAAGGAGAGATTATCCCGTCCAAGCCTAATCCTTGCTACCGTTGCCGTCGCCCACAGACCCCTTGTAAGGCAGGGAGCGAGGAGGATGATCTCGGTGATCCTGCTCGTCCGCCACCGGACAGCCTGCCAATGTCCGCCGAGAGGGGAAAAATTAGTAAAAGGTTGGTTCTAGGGTTACCCCCCTACCCCCTATATAGGCCCCTATACTGTTTTTCAACTTGTCTATCTCATTCGTTATCGTTTTTGTTGGACACTTATCTGAAATCTTTATGTAGTTTTGGGGTTATCTTTTGAATTATTCTTATTACCTACAACTTATGATGGTTTATTATCATAAGGTTTTGTATAAGTTTTATCTATTACCCTATCCCGATATTTTATACTAGTTTTATGTCATAAGCTTAGGCATATGTCCGCATCCTGCGCGAGCTTCGTTCCGATCACGGTGGTAGGATGGCCACCGCAATCGGGGACATCAATGTGGAGGCCGCTGACACTGAGATCGGACACAGGCAACTCGCAGAGGGGAATGAGCCTGTCAACAATTCGGGGGAACCCACACGGGAGACCGAGGCCCCACCTCCCCAACCCACCACTGCTCACGAAGATGTCGCATTGGAAGTTCCCCCAACCCCGGCAGCTAGCGTCGAGCCTGTGTCGGAGCAACCCGCTCCACCTCTTACCCCCGAGCAACAGGCACGGCTCCAGGCTAGCCGTGCAGCAGCAATGGAGCGTCGTGCCGTCAACCTATCTGGACAGGCATCAGCAGCAGATGATGTGCCGCACGCCGCCGAAAGCCAGACGCCGACAGACACCAGCGACCAGCCAGGCATCTCCGGCGAGAATCAACTGCTTTGCTCATCGGATGCACTCTTCGGCGACCTTGGCCTGGACTTCGATGCAGGTGACTCTGACCTAGCATTTTGGGTTCCCCCAACTCGTTTGTCCCTTTGCTTGAACCTGGGCGGGTGGCTGGGGGAAAAACGCCATGCACTTGATTTTCTCTTGAAAGTTCACATGCTTGGTTCTCTTGAACTGCACTTGCATTGTCTCGGTTGATGCGACATTCCTTTTGGAGATTGCCGAAACTCCTTGTGCCGTCGCGGCCATTCTGGCGCGAGAAAATTTTGGTGCCCACCCTCTCCGCCCTAATGACCGGATGCCTGTGTCTCTTCCCGGTCCATAATAATTCTCCTAAGTGTCACTGGCATGATTTGCTCCTCACAGCAGAGGGGACACTGGTGCTCACCGAAAGGTGATGGTCTGATGGTCGTAAGCACCACCTGGTGCCTTCTTCTTCTGGCCGGTAGGCTGAGTCGAGCGGAATCCAAGACAAGAGAGACCCAACACACGCCTTTGTAAAAAGAAGGCATCTGTCCGACTGTTGCATGCGGTCACATCAGTTTGAGTTGCTTCAAGGATCTTTGCTCCTAAAACTTTTGGTGGAGTTTTCCCTAAGTGCCCCTGCCTGTTCCCTAAAGTCCGCTGCCTTTTGGTTCAAGCTTTGGGACAAGGACAGGGTTGCGTGTGCTGCAGGCAGGTGTTCACTCGAGGAGAACGGCTCACCCGCCTTCGCTGCATGCACGCTGTACATACTACCTGTTTCCTGCAATGGAAGCAGGCTGAACTCGCCAGTACTCCCGATCGCTGCCGTTGCCCACAGTGCAACAGCAACTTGCTGACCGTGCTGACCCCCGAATGAGGTGATGTACAGCGATTAGTTCGTGTAGCCTGAGCCTCCTGCAGTCCCCCAGGCTTCTATCTTCTGGCCCTCTGTCGTGGAACGCGTATTGGAGCCAAGTACAAACTAGACTAACCTTCCTGGGAGGGCGTTTTGGGCAGGAATTTTGTCCATGAAGCGGCGCAGTGCCCCTCACAAGTCAAGCCGATGCAAACACTTGACTTGTGTGTGTGCTCGTGTGTGTGTGTGTGTGTGTTGCCGATGCCCTGCGCGTGACTTGGCAACTGTTGACAATACTCCACATTTTGACGCAACTGCTCTGACGCGTGCTCCGCAGCTCACCGCCGTGGTACCGGAGTTTGTATCAAACCCCGTAAGCTGGCACGCTTATTGGGTTGCAGTGCCCTTATAACTCCTCAGGACTCGCCCGGGTACTGTGCTACGTACGACTCTTCACACTGTACACATGCTGCTTGACTGGAATCCTACTTCCTTACACGTCCTTGCACCAACTACCTGGGAACCGTATAGTGTAGTTCGCTGCCTAGGCTCTGCGTCGAGGTTCGCAAAGACTCAACAAGTCTCAACCATTTCTAGGGCATGGAGCCGCCTGTCTTACACGATGGAGGCGGCAGTAGCGACGAAGAGGATCCTGGCTCCGCTGACCGGGACCTGATGCCAGTCGGCCGGCGGAGAAACCTCCGCTTTATCGGAAAGTGCCTGGGCCACGATGTCAGCTGGCGTGGCACTCAGGTAATCCGGATCGTCTCGCTCCAAGCAGGCGGCGTGGGTGGCTCAGATCGCGAGGCATGGGGCCAATGGTGGGCAGATTGTGCAGCAGAACTGGGGGCAGATATTTTCGTGTTGGCGGAAACTCGAATCACTACCGCAAGAGGGCACACGCAGGCTGTGTCCGGTATAAGCAAGGGGGGGTACTTTGGAATCAGTCATAACATGGATCCCACGGCTCACACCTCATCGAGGGCCCCCTCGCCAATGTCGTCAGGAATAATCATTGCAGTCCGCAAGGACTACGTAGGACACTGGCAGCATGTCACCAAAGACTCAGATGGGCGCGCACAGTTCGGCACACTCCTCAAGGACGATGGTGCGGCTATCGGAGTGGTGGGAGTATATGGTCCCACCGGTGCCACCTCTGCTTCCTTCGACCAGGACGCTAGCGCACTCGCACAGGAACGGAGATTAGTCGAGTTCGTCTCCAATCAAAAAGCAAATGCACTACACACGAACACTTCCTTGCTGGTGGTGGGAGACACTAACAGCTACACTTCCCCTGATCTGGACTGCTGGGACTGTCAAGCCACTGTTAGACCCACATGCCTTGCGATCCAACTACAGGAGATGGGTCTACATGACTGTTTCAGAGAGCTCCACCCACGATTAAGGGTCTTCACATATTACACTCGACAGGGCACCGCCAGCCGCCTTGACCAGATTTGGTTTATGGGTGGCATCGGCGGGGCCAGCCAAGTGCTCAACGCAGCGGTGGTGTGGCAGTGGCACAAGCGCACTGATCATGACCCTGTGGTGGTGGACCTCAGCCATGTCCTCCCCACATCAGATGAGCCGCCGACTGCCACAAACGAGATGGACTGGCGGCGTATTGTGCAAGCCAGTTTGAGCACTCTGGAGGCCGACGCACTAAGAGCTGAGATCCGAACACCACTAGAGCTCGAACGTGCTCCACTTGAGGAGGCCATGACGCAAATCCGCCAGCAGGCTGCGGACCTGCGCAGTACCCCAACAACAATGGCAACGGTGTTCGAGCCTGGAGGAATCGCGGACCATCGGGGGTTCAATTTGAGGCAGGACATTGAAAGGGCTACTTCTATTTTCCACTCTTCGGTAGCTGCTAGTCTCCAACCACACTCTGCTAATCAGGACTTTGCGTTATCCAGGACAAAAGCTTCATGGGAGGAATGTATACATCAACTCCGGAGTCTTAAAACCCTGTTGCTGCATGCTGATGATAACGACCAGGCAGGGACACAGATTTCCGATCAACGTGCTGTGGTAAAGCGATTGTGGGAGAAAAGTGAGCAGTATGCAAGCAAACTCTTGACGGGCGCGGGGAGAACAGATGACAGACCCTTCATCGAGGACTGGGATGGCTTCCGCTCGCAGCCGCAAGAGTGGGCCAGATCGCTCACCGGCGTATCGGCCCAGGCCATACAACATTGGGAACCCAAAACGCAGGTCGTCGAGCCCGGCCTCATTGGAAACCTATCTATCTCTTTGGAATGAACATTTTCTGCTTGCAGACTTTTCTTTCTTTTAAAAACCTGACAGGCAGCAGAGCTGCCGTGTTTTGCATGTGAGTTTTGAAGAACATTTCTTGCATGGAAACTTTCATTGTCTTTGAATAAGCAGATCGGATACCTTTGGCTTTCCCGCGAGTCTGCTCAAAGAGAGAGGCAAGAAATTTTTCTTTCAGGCCTCTAGAGTCCCGTATTGTGCAAGCTAGAAGCCTCCAGGTGCTAATCTCAAGGCTTTAGCTGAGTGCACGGCGCCCCCCCGTCGGGGGTGCTAGATGGACGGGACGCTTCCGGCGCCTCAGCAGGTGCCAGTGCTTTGCCCTGTGACAGGACAACTCTTGCAACAGGTCTCCACTCCGGTTGAGCCGGCACCTTTCCCGCCTGAGCCTCCTTTGTCGCTGGGGGACCTGCCTTCAGCCAGTCCCGAGTCTCTGCCAAGGGGTGTTAGGGGACTTCGGGACTTCAGGGGGTCGGTTGGGGATCTGCCTAGCCAATCCGTTGAGATTAGTGACGAAGACCAGGACCTCGATCAGGGCTGCTCGGGCTCCCCTTGGAACCTGCTACGTGCGAGGGAACAGGAGGGCAACAGCCCTCGGGAGTCCAGATTCTCTGAGGAGAGGGGCTTTTCAGAGTTTGATTTTGGGAGTCTCGCCACCCATCCTTCGTTGGATAGGGAACCTTCTGATTTAGCTTACGAACCCTCCCTTGCTGAGGAAAGGGAATGGTACTCGCAGGTAGGAGAGACAGACTCCCTTAATCCTCCGATAGAACTTCGTGGAGCTCTTCCTCCTGACATTGTTCAGGGGGGGGAGACGGCTTCTTGGTTGTGTGGTGCTGCTGCTGATGATGATGCGAGACAGGCCGCCACGGTGGCCTTCTGCAAGAAGAGACGACTCGACCTGCCCTCGCTGCCTTGGAGCCAGCCCAAGACATTTCTTCAGAAGTCCTACGATAACATTTTCAATTTTGTGCCTGCAGTGGGAGTGAGGGAAGTCATTATGGGAGCAGCGTCTTCATCGGAGCCTGCACCGGAAGCAGCAAGTGAAATTCCATGGACTGTGGTGCGTCGCCTGACGCGTGTTCGCTTGACCAAAAGTGACGATGACATTCGAGATGCGGCCTTGAAGCGTTTCAAGGTCTTGATACTGCTAGACCCGGAAGCGACTCGCCTTGGGGCAAGCCTGCTGAAACAAGGATTGGGTCTGGAGCCTGACGAGGTGATTGCAACTAGTCTGGCGGATGCCTTTAGAACCAAGGCCTCCACAACAATTCAGAAACGAGCTCTCTCGCTGCAATCCTTGGCTATCATGGCTTATGACCTAGGCTTTGAGTCGCCCTGGCGCTTGACCGAGCCCCAGGCCTATGAGATCTTCAGCAAGCTTCGCAGCTCGGATGCCAAGGCCTCGACTGCCTCCCACTTCGTGGAAGCTCTGGGATTTCTGCACGGGGTGGCTGTGTTCAACTTCATGGCCTTGGACATCATTTTATCTTCAAGGGTGCGGGGCATTGCAAGAGACATGAAGCTTCACAAAGAACCGCTCAAGCAGCGAGATCCTTTATCTTATGCGAGGGTCAGAGCCTTGGAGGGGCTGATGACCAAGACTTCAACTTGGGTACAATGCGTGCTCGGCTTCATGCTCTTCTGCCTGCACTCTTGTTGCCGCTGGGCGGATGGCCAGCGAGTCAAGGGACTCGAGCTGGTGGGAGAAGGCCGTGGGCAACTTTTGATTGCGTCAGGTCTGGGGTCTAAGACGTCATTGACGGCTGACGCCCAAACGAAATTTCTGCCGTACGTATGCGTGGCTGAGGGGGCGAGCGGCCAGCCTTGGGCAAAGTTGTGGCTGCATGCCCGTACTGCTGAAGGCCTTGACTTCTCGGCGGGGTGCCTTCCGTCGTGGTCTCAGCGAGCCAACTGCTGGGCAACGGTGCCTATGAGTTCGGAGGAGGGATCAGACCTCCTTGAGGAGTTCCTCCTTACCATTGACATGGGGGCCTCCCGTGACGAATCGATTGGTACCCACAGCTTGAAGGCTACCCTGCTTTCATGGGTGGGGTGGAGCTCCACAGTCCATTTTAGTGCCAAGGAGAAGTTGCTACTTGGGCATCACTTCAAACGGGGAGGTTCATCTAACCTCATCTATTCCCGCCAGTACTACATCTCCCTTGCAGGTAAGCTCCTTGCACTTTTCGAGAGCATTAGGGCTGGAGATTTTGATCCCGACATGTCAACCTCTGACAGAGTTGCAGCTGTTGCGTCGAGACACTTCAGCCGCCCGGAGCCAGACGCCCCGGTACCCCCGAACGAGGATCCCGACGAGCTGGAGTCGCTGGCTTCTAGGTCTGCCGAGTCCGAGGCGGAGTTCTTCGGGCATCCAACGGCGGCTACTGGATCAAGGCTCCCCTTTACGGAATGCACAGTTGACCAGTTGATGATCCACTCCCTGTCAAACATCGTGCACAAACTGAGGGATGCTTCAAGCTTCTTTTGCGGGAGGCCGGTCACCTCTAGGTACAGAGTCTTCACCACTGAAGACGAGGAGGAGCCCGAGCCGTGTATTCAGTGTCGTCGGGCATCGGAGTTTTGACCAGGTCTGAAACGCCGCAGTCAAAAGCCGTATGGAGCGAGTGGTTGCAACATTCACAAATTGGGATGCCAGGACCTGTCGAAGCCTCATAAGTCTTGAAACAGTCCATGCTGATCGGCCGGCTTTTGTGCCCGTGGCCTCTGTCGTGTAGTTATGGCGCTACGATGGCATAGGGCTGATACGCCAGGTTGGGCATACCCCTTTGTGTTTTGGGTCGGTGAGTTTCTCACCCGAGACCCGAGTGATATACCTGACGACAGAACTTGTCGGTTTGACCCATGACGGCTTGAGAGAGAAGCGCTGGGATTGATTAACGCGGTGATGACTGTAAGTCCGAGTCACCACATGCAAATGTCAGCCGGTATCTCACGATGCCCGGGGCTGGCCTTGTGATCGTGTATCGCCTTGTGCCGGCCAGGGTTGGCCCGTGGCACGGGTGGATGATTGAGCTGCCCTTATTGCGGCCGTGGCTCACAGCGGATGACCATGATGGTTGCTGGCACGAGAGCATCACCTGTCAAACGTTGATCCAAGATCACCGAACTCGGGGGTTTAATCGTGATCGCTTGCAGCCATGACGTCGGCCACCTTGGACTCGGAGGCTGCTTTTCAAGAAAGGTGTCTCCGAATCGGCATGACGCCGGAGCTGTATGGCAAGCTCAAAGATAAGGGCTATGACACCTTCGGGAAGATCGCCTTTGCTGCTGCGAGCTCCCCGCAGGCCCTTACCGATGAGGCCATCGATGTGTGGTTGGCCACGGTCGTAGATCCAAGGCCTTCAGCGTTCCAGGTTTCGGTGATCAGGCGGCTTCTATTTGAAAGCCAGTCGCTCAACATCGCTGACTTGCGGACCCGTGTGGAAGGCCAGCCTGAAAACACAATCAAGAAACTTCCCACTGCTGAACGAATAGCCAGACAAGAAGCTCAGCAGGCTCGCTTGAAGGGAGTCGTCTTCACGGTGTCGAACCAGCCATCCCATGCGAGCATCGATCAGGTCACCGACATGTTGGAAAACAATTCCTTGCGGTACCTGCCGATGAACAGGTGGACCTCCCGGTCACAGGAGCTGAGCTTGGCAAAGAAGGACTCATCGATCCAAATTGACGCGGAGGGAAACCTCAAGCTAGGCACTAAGGTCCCGGATCCTGTTTGCGACACAAATGGTGCTTATGCGCTTCGGCAAGCCTTCTTTCGCCGCTCGCTGGCTCTGGACCTAGGGAACCTCTGCACCTTTGAGGTGATGGAGGAGTGGGTCAACACCATCTTCGAACTGACCCAGCGGCAGGTTCCCACCGGGTACACCAAGGTCTCCTTGTCCCAGATTGTAGCAGCAGATAAGGAACTCTTCATCAGGGCAGCGAACAACCTTGAAGGAAAGCTCCAGAAACCAGTGGGAGCTACCAAGCCGTTGGATGCAGAGCTGAAGCGTTTGTCTGTGTCGCATGACATCACGCAGTTCTTGTCACCCTTGCTCACCCCGCCTCCGCCGGCCCATCCTACCAAGAGGCCCCAGGATGGTGACGACGATGCACCGCCCAAGAAGACGAAAGGCAAAGGTGACAAAGGCAACAAAGGCGGGGGCAAGGGCAAGACACCGAGGATCGAGATACCTGAAGGTTGTTCCGCACGTGATTCGCAGAACCGACCGAATTGTTTTGGGTTTAACTTAGGCACCTGTAAGGCCAAGGTGGTGAAAGGTAGGTGTCCGAAAGGATTTCACCAGTGTTGGAAAATAGGCTGCAACAAGAATCACCCGTACAGTGAATGTACGCATGGCATGCAGTGACCCAGCCAATCGGGAGGTGGGCCAGCTCCTGAGGCAGCTCCCTTGGCCCACGGTGCAAGCCGAGCTACATGCTCAGAGTCTTTCGCGAAGACTCTTAATTCAGTCAATGTGCCGCCGTCCCGTCTTGACTTGCAAAAGTTGCATGAACATCTTGTTGCGGATGGCTTGCTACGTCCTGACGCCAGAACTCAGCAACCGAATTTTGGGGTTGGGGCTTTTTCCCAGGGAGGGCTTCAAGGTCTGCGTGGTGAGTGTAAGAACTTCCCACAAACGACCAAAGCTATTACAGCTTTCGTGCGAGCTCAACTCCCGGATCTTTTCTTTACGACTGTTTTCCTGTTTTGCAATTCCATGACATCAATGCATGTAGATTCCAAGAATCATAAGTCCCCCACTGGTGTCATACCGATCGGAGCGTTCACAGGAGGCCACATCTGGGCCCAGTGTGACCATGGTTCGGTTACGCGCCCCATCAACGGCACACCGACCGCTGGCGAATTGCTTGATGTGTCTGCTGGACCCATCACCTTCGAGGCTTACTCCAGAGCCCATTGTACCGAACCGTGGCATGGCAACAGACTGATCGCTGTGGCATTTTGTGTCTCTGATTTGTCCAAACTTCCTGTTGCCGATGCAAATTCCCTTTTGTCCCTTGGGTTTAGGCCCCCGACCTCCTTGGGTTTCCCACTTCAGATCGCCGAGCAGGCGCAGCCCCCGCGACCTGATGACACGTGGATCTTCGAGATCTTTTCGGGCACTGGGGGTTTCGCTCGAGCTTGCCTCCGGAAAGGCTTCAAGGTTCTAGCCTTTGATGCAAAATTAGCCGGGGCCATGGTCCCTACTGCAAATCTTGACTTCTCCACAGACGCAGGTCGCGAGGTCTTTATGTCAATGTTGAAGCAGTGCAAACCTTTTCACGTCCACCTAGGGGTGCCGGCAGGTTCTGCGTCAGCCTCCCAGCGGGCCGCGAAACCCGATAGCCGATCACAGGGCGCCCGTTTGAGCACGCTTCGGACGCCGACACATTGCTTGGGTGTGCCCCAGATCGTGTGGTCTTCTGCCGAAGGCATCAAGCTTAGGAAGGAAAATGCCCTTTTCCGGTTCTGCTTCGATGTCATTTGCTTATGCCTCGACGCCAACATTTCAGTCAGTGTCGAAAACCCGGCCAACTCTTTGCTGTGGCATGTCTTCCAACGCTTTGCTTCTCAGGCTGCCATCAGGTGGCCGCCTAGCCAACTTGAACAGGTTATCTTTGCCATGTGTGCGCATGGGGGTGACCGCCCCAAGCAGTGCAAGCTTCTGGCTTCCAAAGGCCTCTTTTCCCCTCTGGCAGCCAAGTGCAGCAAAGATCATGAGCATGCTCCATGGTGGTCGCACTCCCGCCTCAGTGCGTGCTATCCGCCTTTGCTCTGCACACGCATGGCGGACTGTGTCTCGTCTCTAGCATCACAGTCGGGCCGGGTCCTCACGGCGCCCGATGACTTCCATGCAAAGGCCATGGCTGCAGCAGCCAAGCAAAGCAAGCGGCATGCCCCGCTCATTCCGGAGTTTCACAAGGTCACCTGGGAAACTCCCCGCTTCAAGCCAGATAAGTCTTGCAAGATCCTCCTGACCCACGTTGAGGGGGATAGTGGGGGTCAGACTTCGGATCCAAAGAACTTGAAACCTGTCAAGGTAGGCCATTGGCTCAATATGGATCAGCATGTATCGAAAGCCCGAACGTTGCAGCATCCTGTGGACAAGACGATTGCAGTTGACCCACCTGTGTGGGAAGCCGTCAACTTTTGCATGGCGCATGACTCTGCCAAAGCTAATCAGCTTAGGAAGCTTGAGCTCCTTAAGGTGAAGCTCCTTGCCAAATCCCTTGAAGAGGAAGAGACAAAACTTCATGCCTCCTTCCCGCCTTGGTTCGAGAAGGTGGTCAAAGGAAAAAGGATTTGCTTGTGGGAGTCTCTCTTGAAAAATCATGGCTTTGACGACATGGGGGTAGTGGATCTGATGAAGAAAGGGGTGCCTTTGGTAGGAACTTCGGAAAAACCTGAATGCTTTAAGACCAAGGTGGCCATGGCTTCCATGTCCGAATCAGAACTCAGGGCCACTGCCTCTTTGCGCCGTCGTGCTGCCTTGTCAAAACCGAACCGTGCGACCCCTGAAGAGATTTCGCTTCTTCAGGAGGCCTCTAACTCCGAGGTTACCGATAACTTCATAGAGGGACCCTACACCGAGGCCCAGGTCACTGAAATTTTCGGCCATTCGGATTGGGGCATCATTCCCAGGTTCGTTCTTGAGCAAGGCCTTGAGAAGAAGATTCGACCCATAGATGATGGGCATGCTTCGCAGGTCAATGAGGCTTTCACTTCCTTGATTAAGCTGGAACTTCAAGGGGCCGACTTCGTTGCGGGTCTGGCCCTGCTGATCTCCCAGGCCGAAAAGGAACGTTCAGAGCGCCTAGGTGTCGCTGCTAGGAAGTGGGTGGGTCGGACCCTAGACCTCTCAAAAGCTTATAAACAACTAGGGGTACTCCCGCAACACCGTGACATCGCCGTCATCTGCCATCCCAATGAAAATGGCGAACCGCAATTCTTTATTGCGAACGCACTGATGTTCGGCTTGACATCGTCGGTGTATGGATTTGTAAGAGTAGCTAGAAGCTTGCATTTCCTGCTGGCCAAAGTGCTGAAGATCCCTTCAGCCAACTACTTCGACGATTACCCTCTCTTCACGTTGAGAGATGGGGCCCACGAGCTTGATGGTTTAACTTCCGAATTCCTAGAATTGCTGGGGTGGCGCTTCGCCCAGACCGGGGTAAAGGGTCAACCGTACGAGGAGGCCTTCACAGTCCTCGGAATGCAGCTGGACATCAGTCGTTTGCATGAAGGTGCTGCCGTGCTGGCAAACAAGGAAGGCCGTGTCAAGCGCATTTCCGAAATGCTGGGCAGCATTTTTGACAAGGGAGCCCTGGGCAGGCATGAGGCGCAAGTTCTCCTTGGACTCTTGAACTATGCCTCAGGTTTCTTTGCAGGCCGATCCTTGAAGCCAGCGTGCCACTTCCTGCTCTCCTTGGTAAGGGGGAAGCGCCAAACGGCTGCCGAAATAAAGCGCTTCTGCAAAACTACGCAGGCTGTCTTGAGCACCACTCCACCTAGAGTCCTTCGCATCTTTGACCCTCGACCGCCCATCCATGTTTGGACGGATGGAGCTTGGGAAGATCCTTGGGCGGGAATAGGTGCGGTTGTTCTTGACACGCTAGATGATAGTGCCAGGGTTTTTGCCGGTTGTGTACCTGCTAAGCTTTTGGAACGCTGGAAGCTGGATGTGGGATCGCAACTCATATGCGAGATCGAGCTCTACGCTTTGGTTACTCTGCGTCGCATGCTCCAAAATAGCTTGTGCAACAGAAGAGTCATCTTTTGGCTTGACAACGAGGCCGCACGCACCTCAGCCATCAAAGGTTTGAGCCAGAGCGAGTCGATGTATCGCCTCGCCCATTATCTTGCAGTGATCGAAGCTGAGGCGCCTTGTATCGCTTGGTACGAGAGAGTGCCTTCCTTTTCCAACATAGCCGATCCCCCTTCACGAGGTGAGGGGCACAGCATCCTCAGCTTGGTAGGCGCCAAGGTCGTGGAAGCTTTCATCCACGATGAAAGCTCAAACCAGAGATTCCTTCATCAGGGATTCGCGTGATGTCGGGGGCATTCAGGACGCTGCTCCCTTGATCTTGGAAATCTCAGCTTGCCAAACCCGAGATGCTTGATCATCGGTTTGGCCGGAGCTGTGGGGGCTCCTGAATCAGAATTCACCCTTGATCACCGTGCGAATAAAAAGAGTGTGGCGCGAGAGTTCTGTGAATCCTCATTTAACTTACATTGTGAGGATCTCTGATACAATATATCTTTTACTGATTGATCTTGCCATATTCCGAGATGGATTGATTTTTTATATGATTGGCATCGCTTTGATACGTGATATCTGATATCACTCGACCTTTGCGAAACATCAGGTTTTTGAAAGAAGAACATTTTCTGCTTGCAGACTTTTCTTTCTTTTAAAAACCTGACAGGCAGCAGAGCTGCCGTGTTTTGCATGTGAGTTTTGAAGAACATTTCTTGCATGAGAACTTTCATTGTCTTTGAATAAGCAGATCGGATACCTTTGGCTTTCCCGCGAGTCTGCTCAAAGAGAGAGGCAAGAAATTTTTCTTTCCCACCCTCCCACCCAATACGGACGGGGGGGCATTCAGGACGCTGCTCCCTTGATCTTGGAAATCTCAGCTTGCCAAACCCGAGATGCTTGATCATCGGTTTGGCCGGAGCTGTGGGGGCTCCTGAATCAGAATTCACCCTTGATCACCGTGCGAATAAAAAGAGTGTGGCGCGAGAGTTCTGTGAATCCTCATTTAACTTACATTGCGAGGATCTCTGATACAATATATCTTTTACTGATTGATCTTGCCATATTCCGAGATGGATTGATTTTTATATGATTGGCATCGCTTTGATACGTGATATCTGATATCACTCGACCTTTGCGAAACATCAGGTTTTTGAAAGAAGGACGACTGCACCAGTAAACCGCCGAGCGAGATTGGCGGGCGCCTCGCTGGTTAACTCCTGGATTTCTGCTGCGCGACACTTTCAAGCTAAATGTCAGCGACATGCAGCTCGAAATTTGGCCAGAGCCAGGCAAGCAGCACTACGCCGAATGGATTTCAAGACATGGGCTCGAATGCTCCGTCCCCCTACAGGTCGGACCCCCAAATACTCCCCCGAGTGGGTGGTGGATGGCGAGGGACACCGCCGCCCACCCGCCAATGCACAGGACGCATTAAACGGGGCTGCGCAGGAGTGGGAACGGCTTTTCCATGCTCCTCCCATCCCATGGCAGCACCCCGCCTTTCTTTCATGGACTGACAAACTCGGCAACAAACGAGGCGGCTTGAATTTCGAGCACCTCGCCAACATGCCGCGTGCGGGCGAGGAGAACGTACCTCAAGCAATACTTGAACCTGGACCGTGGTGCATCATACGTTGGCGTCCGCATAGAGTACGGTACCTGTCGGACAGCAGTATCTCGATCCCAGGCTGGGTGCTGTCGTGGTCGGGCGCACCCATTGGATGGCAGGCGCGCCGCCCTGGGCCGTGCTCGGGGCCTGCACTGCATGTACTTTGCTTCGGCAGAGTGCCAGCACGTGAATGGCCTATGGATCGCTTCGGCCACATGGCGGACTTCGACGCAATGCCCTATGGGATCGCTTTGGGCCCACACTCCTTCGGGGATCACTCCGCCTTGCTCAGCCTGGAACAGGACCAGCGTGAACATTGGATTCGGAAAATGAGATGGTCCCGCCCGGGCCGGACGGGCTTCAAATTGGCCTTCCTACCACTACTTCCTACATGGTGCCAGGAGATGTTCTGGGAGTTGACAGACACACAACGCGAGACGGCAATTATTGCACCAAGTAACAAAAAGGCTATCCAGATCAACCTCCCAAAAAGTTCCGGCGGATTTCGGCCGCTAAGCATGATGGAAGAGGCCTTCAAACTCATCGAAGGCCCGGTCACGCAGCGTATCGCCACTTCCCTATTGGAACTTGGTACAGTTTACAGTAAAACAAACCTCGCCTATGAAAAGAAGCAGGCCGCCACCTCGGAAGTTTTGTATACCGACTGCCTCATTTGCGAGATCGCTGCCCGAACTGGGTCGCCGTTCGCCCGAGTCCCTTCTGATTACGAGAAATACTTCAACTCCATCATGTATGAAGAAGTAGATGCCATGCAACTGGCTCGTGGCATACCAGACATGGTGCGCCGTTTCTACACCGAAGCCTTTCAAGGGATCACCGTAGCCATCGACACTCGTTGGGGGCTCACGCGCGACGTGGACTACCAAAGGGGAGTTCCTCAAGGGACAATATCCTCCCCCGAGCTTTCCAAGCCGGCACAGGAACCAATACTTCGCATGAGAGAACTTAGCTCTGCCAAATTTGTCACTGACCATGGTATCGGCGTCGCCGTCACCGCCTACGCCGATGACGCGGAGCATTATGCCGGAGGGGTACTACAACTGCCCCAGCTGCTGAGAGAACTGGGTAAGGGTAGCATGCTTGCCGCTGTAGGCTATGCGTGGCCAAAATTTACAGCCTTCGCCTCCGACTGGGATTCGGTCCTTGGCACTGCTTGGGCGGACGAACATGGGGTCACACCGGTTGGGATACAGGTCACTGGATACGACATTTGGTCAGGAGGCGCGGTCACCACCACTCTGCCTCGCTCCTACGCTGACACCGTCGAGAAGCTCCTAGGCAAACGAGGAACTATCACCAACAAGCATGACATCGCGGCACAAGACCTTCTTGACAAACTTAGTCAACTGCGGCAAAGGATGACCTTCAGGAACTGCGACTGGGACGAGGTTGCTGCGGCTTTCCAGCTTATTGGTCGAGGCTACATCTCCTATGCACCCCTGGTAGGTATCCCATCTCCGACGAGTCTACACTTGCAGGATGCCGACTTGCAACTCCTCATCCTAAAGCGCCTTCAGGTTCGGTGCTCGGTGGAGAGAGTTAGCTTACTGGCACCCCGTGACATAGGTGGGTTACAGCTGCCATCCATGGTCGAGTCCATGGTGGCAGCTGTCGGCTCAGACCTGCTTCTACTTCTAAATGGTAAGACCCCCGCCTCGGACCTCGCTAGAGCAGAACTGTGCATGGCCATGCAATTGGACCCGGACGCAGCCCCCGTGCATCAGGGTATCGTGTGCAAAGCTTTGCGCTTTCTCGCAGGCTATGGGGTGTATCTATCGGTATCCACAGAACGCCTCCTCGCTCGCGTCCTGGACCACCTCAAACAACGTCTCGGCTCCCTGCACGCCCAGTTTGTCGGTCCTGCAGATGAGTGGTCCCATCAGCAAGGGGCCCAATTTTGTCGGGTCGGCCGCTTCGCCAACTCCCTGCGACGGACACTGAACTCGCTCAAACATGCCGTGGCCAGGCAGGATTGGGGATCCGTCCACGTCTGGCAACAACATCTGGAGCCCTCATCCGGCCTCTTGCCCTCGGATTGCGCGGCGGCCATGAGTGCGGCCATCATCGCTTCCAACTCTGACTGGGAGGTGGAGTGCGGTTTATTTCACAGACCATTCCCTAATGCCGCTGTAGACGAGGACTGGGCATCGAATGCTTGGTCCAACCCCTGGGACAGCCGCGTGGACTCGCGCAGCGCTTATCTGGATGCACCAACAGAGCTAACCTTTGACGGCTGGGATTTCGGTATGTATAGCGACGGGGGCATGCTCAACAACGCCAATTGTACCTTCAGCAGTCAAGCTCGATCCTTTGGTGGGGCAGGGGACTACTGGGAAACTAGCCATGCCTGCACAGAGCGTATTATCAGTCGTCTCCCCCTCAAACTGGGACACGAACCTGCGGGTGTACACGAGGCCGAAATGGCCGCGATGCTCGCCGCTCTCCGGTGGCGACGGCCTGATGGTTGGAATCTTTTGGTGGTGGACCGCAGCTCCCTATGTAATGTACTTCAACAGGCCAATCTTCAACGTCCCGCTGCACTACTCCATCTCACAAGTCAGTTTCTGGTGGGCAGGTTACAGCGGATCCTGACAGACCTACGTGGCTCTTGGCAAGAAACCACAGCGAAGCCCTCTTGGAGACTACAGCAAGAAGCCTTCCCAACGATCTGGAACTGCAAACATCAGAACAAGTGGATGTGCAAAACCACGCACTGTACTGCAGGACTAGTTGCTGTAGACATCAAATCGCATCAACAACATAGCACTATCCCACACCCCGTTATTACCCGTGGCAATGAACTACAAGACGAAGGATGCAGCCTCGCACGTAGCTTATCGCGCCCGCCAGACGTTCTATACCCCACTGGTGGTTTCTTCGCTTTCCTGGTCACAGAGGGTAAGGCCATCGGCAGTCCCATACGCAAAGTCGTCCGCGCGATTCTCCGTTCCCAGGCAACTCAACAGTGGAAGCAGCGCAAAGTCCAGGGACATGTGGCGACGCAGGCGCACGAAGTCTCCGGCCCTGCACTGGATATGCGGTTATTCACGCATGTATCGGTGCCACCACCCTGGACGCACTGGCTTCTTCCCACTGATCAACGCGATGGGCTGGACTTGTCCAGGTTCCTCTACCGGTGTGTTCGTGCTGTGGGTGGCTCCTGGACCGAAAGCATCAAATCCGACACAGAACTGGCTCGGTTAGCAGCGCATTGGGCAGATACGAGCCAGCTCGAATCCATGCGGACATGCCCGTTGTGTACTACAGGTGCCGGAACTCCCCGACATACGGTTATGACGTGTGCTGGGATGCAACATCTGTCCAATCTGCTGCACACCGACGTGGAAACCCTGCTAGGGCAACTGGCACAACGCGAGCGGCTGTTACAGAATGCTGCGGATTGGAGGCGGGATTGCAGACGGCAGGGACGGGATCACCTCATTCCCGACCCCACCGCCCATAGTACAGACACCTGGCCTATTCTCGCCGCATGGAGATGGTTGGTTACTCTCCCAGGCCGCGAGCCTCAGCTTAGTCAAGATGTCGATGGCCACAGCGCGGCAGCGGTGTCGCGGGAATGCGCGTGGGACTTAGGACACCGCGCAGTTCTACCATCTGTTTTGGGTCGGGCCCTGTGTCAAAGGGAGCCGCCGCCAGACTT